CTGTCTCTAAGTGTAGCCCTGTGATAGACTGGTTACCTGTCCAGGTGAACCTGCCTTCACCCTGAGTCAGCTGGGATAGGCTCCGCCCCCCATGACCCTAGTGAGGATTAAGGTGTAGAGATGGTGGATGTCTTGTATCACTGAAAATCATTGCAACATACCTAAGTTCTACAAAAACAGCTGTTCATCAGCTACATGGTGCATTATTAGCTGTGGCAGTGCTGAACCAAAACGAGGGGGCGACCAAATCATTAGCTGGTGCAACCAGCAAAGAAAGTTGGCAGCACCAGTGCTACCACTGGAACAGTTAGTCTGGAGCCCTGCTACATGTGTTTTACTTTTAGATAAAGGCATGCACAATAGTTGTACACATAATAAAAAACAATCAAATGCAGAGACAATTATTTAACAATATGTGAAGGAGTCGTTACATTTATACAGTCTTACAATTACAACCGGCCCTTTGAGGGTAAACATAATGCTTATGTGGCCCGGGATGAAACTGAGTTTGACACCCCTGTTTTAAAGGGTTAAAATCCTGAAAACACTGAACATTTGGTCGTTATGTTTAGGACTGATGATGGTTGAAATAGTTTAGTCAGTCAAAGTAGAAAATAATGTCAAGATATAATACTTTATGCCAGTTTTTTAAGAGGACACTTTCCTAAACAGACATTAGTGTGAACCACCAGACCAAATACTGGTGATCTGGTAATCTGATTACTGTAAGGGGATACAATTCAGAAGAAGAAGCGTCTCCATGTCCAGCAGTGATTCATCCAGAGTTATTCTGGTTCTGGCTGCTCCAGCAGACTGGATCTGATGCTCTGAGCAGGAGAGTTTCCATCAAACACTAACGTACAAAGCAGACGCTGGCCAAGCTCCTGGTCAGGTTCCTCCAGAAGTGAACGGTCGGCTGAAGGTCCACGAAGCCAACAGGACATCCTCAGAGGAGAGCAGAGACACGACGCCCTGCGACTCCAGAAGACGCTGCTTTCTCTTCTGTTCTTCTGCTTCTGTGTGAGCTTCAGTGGAAGATGCAGGTTTTTACAGCAGGATGAGCTGAACAACAAGCTGCAGGTCAGGCTGATGAACACATCCAGAAAAAACACGCCAATTATCTGAATATACTTCTGTTGAAAGGGAGAAAAAGGAACTGAAGTCAACACAGAATCTGGAACAGAAAGACCTGAAGAATAACAGTGTGTTGCCATTGTGGTCTACCAGTGCAGCATCAGTTAAAAAGTCTGAAACTCTGACTTCAGGCTCATCATATCAGCTGACTCATTGATCTCTTTAGTATTCTGGTTCCCCTGCAGCAGGACGGAGACTGAAGTATCTTATAATTTACTAACACTCGTTTTAAAAGTTCAGTCTTCCAGCAGAGCAGCTGAAGGACCAGAAGTTCATCCACAAAGTCTCAGAAGTAAACAAACCAAATCACTGACCTGACATCAGAGACGCACAATGAAACTGAACTGATCAGAGTTCTACTGACAGATGTCCTCCCAGCGTGTCGGATCCGCTGTAGAACCGTTTCAGGTTCTTTAACTCGAGGTTTAAAGATATCAATAGATGATTGTTATGCGATTCTTACGTTTGTGATGGCCAGTCAGATCCAGGTTTGTTCATGAACCCGACCTGCAGCGTTTTCACGTCACCTTTACAATCTGCTCGCTTCCTCTTCCTCTGGACGTCAGGTTGTATTTTTACTACAATAATAATATTAATAACCAGAACTCTGAGTACAAATCTCCATTTTATTGTTCTTTAGATCATTTTAAAGGCAGATCGTTGCCACAGACAGCATTTACAATTTAAAATCTGAAACATTACAACAACTTAAACACTTTATTAACCAGCATCTCTTAAAATCTACTTTAACCCTCATTTTCCTTTCACACACGTTTAAAGACACGACGACAGAAAACCCACATGTAGCTTCTGTCCAGTTCAGACGGACCCAGCACCAGACGAAACACACATCTGGACGTTGGATTAGTTCATGAACGCAGTCTGAAGCTGCTCCTCTGCAGGTTCCTGCCTCCCTGAGGCTCAGGCAGCAGCATGATTGTGAAACAGAAGCAGATAAAGTGCAGCTCGTCGTGTTGAGAAATCCTGTGAAATATTAAACCACCGCAGAGCATCCGATCAGCGAGACAAACGTCTGAAACTGGGTCTGGACTAAACATTCAGGTTTGAAGTGTTTGAAGACGTCACTTTGGGCTTTTTAAGGCAGTTTTAGGCGATTCATTCAGTTCACTGACAGAATTCTGCAGCGCCGATAACACTGACTGTGTGTTTTCTGCATTTTACCTTCATTTAGCAGCAAGAAACTGAAAAAAATCAAAGAAATGAGTCGAGTCCCAGAAACAGGAAAGCTGAGGATGAACAGTTTAACTCAACATTTTGTGATTTCTGAACAATAAAAACTGAACGTTTACTTTAGCTTCACTGTGCAGTCGACTGATCATCCAGGTGCCAGAAGTGTCGGTGATGAGAGGAACACTGATGGAAGATCATAAATAAAGTGATTTGAACAAACTCAGCTTTAAAACCGGACTCGGACTCATCGGGCTGCAGACCAGATGTCGGTGCTGGACTTCAGCGCTGCACGTTTCCAACAGCTGCAGTGAAAAACTGAGCTCGGACGATGAAGGAGCTGCTGCAGGAGGAGATGCTCGACGTCGTCACCGACCGCTGAGGAGAACTAAAAACAGACTCTCAGGCAGCGTCCTGCAGGTCCTGAGCCGACGGATCAAGTTCACGTTTCAGCAGCGTTCAAACGAGTCTCTCCTTCGTCCTGCACAGAAACGCCTCCGACAGCCGGACGTCCGTCTGCAGGTTGGACCCCGTCAGTAGTACGGTCCGATGTTCTCGTACCCGGCGTAGCTCGGCCAGTCGGGGAAGACGCCGTGCGAACACGTGGGGCTGCCGTAGCGGTCGAAGTGAATCCCGAAGTCGCAGGAGTCGGAGCGGCGGTCCTGGCGGCTCCTCAGCGACGCCCACACGATGCGGTAGTTGTTGCCGTGGTTACTGTCCCAGTACTCGCGGCCGTCCACCTCGTAGCGGACGGCGAACTCGACGCGCTCGTGCAGCTGCAGCTCTGCCGGCAGCGCCACCTCGAAGGAGAAGGTGTCGCTGTACGAGCTCGGGTACGAGTCCTTCACGTACCTGCAGTCCACGTCCACGTGGCTCCTCCACGAGTCGAAGGTCACGCGCAGCTTCACCGACTTCTTGAAGGACACGTTTTTGACTTTGACGGTTCCCGCAAAGGTCCGTTCCTTCAGCACGCAGTGTTCCAGGCAGACCAGGCCGCCGTCCAGCCGCTGGCGGAACAGCAGGTAGTCGGAGGACGGCTGGCTGAAGTCCAGCTCCAGTCGGTCCTGCTCGGCTGACAGAGCCGAGCTCAGCGCCGGCTGGACGCTCAGAGGGATGTCGATGGGGTCGCTGAACTCGGAGAAGACCTTCACTCTGGTCAGAGACAAACCTCGGCTGTCGGCAAACGTCACCTGCTTCTTGGTTTTCCTGTTGGATCTGCCGTCCGACGGCTCGACGCAGAACGAAGAGCTGAGAGCAGGCGGACATGATGGAGGCGGCGAGTAGACGAAGTCCTCCTTGGACAGGTAGACGGGCAGCGTCATGTCGATGGGCATGATGGGATCAGGCGCTGGAAGACAGGAAGCAGATCAAACCAGACGACCGTCAACAAACACACACAAAGCTGCAGAGACATCGTTCATCGTTTTAAATTCAGTCAAAAGACAAACATGACGACGAATCTAAAGAATCTGAAGAATCTGAAGCACGTCAAAATAAAACTTGTTCACATACAAACATTCAGTCCAATGTTTCCCCAGAACCATCAGGTTCTGGATCTACAGGGAGTCCAGTTTAGTTCATGAAGCAGAGTTCTACCTTCGTACTGGGGACACTTTCAGCTCTGCTCTGATTGGCTGTCAGAGGACTGAGGCGGAGTCTGTTGCTTCACATCAAACAACAGGCGCTGCACGCCGTTACATCACCGCGACCAAAGATTAACCTGAGCAAACTGACACAGATGTTCTGCACAGAAGCTTCCAGAACACGACATCTGCAGCAGCAGCACGCGTCCCGGTGACCTACATGTTCATGTTTGACCCAACTCAGAGTTAAAGGGTCGGATCAAAACAGGTTTAAGTCACATCAGAACCAGAATCATCCGTCGGATTAAACCACTAATATGCTCATGATCTGCTCATCAGTTCAGTCTCTGGACCCACAAAGTCACAACATAATCTGATCTAAACTTACATTAATCAGTAAACACGAGTGTCAGGAGTTTAGATCAGCTCCTGACACTCACAGCAGATGTTTGTGATCCTGGAGGAACAGCTCATCAATCACCTCCTAACACAATCAGTCTGAACTCTGCTTCCAGTGAACTGAACATCTCTGGACTAAACTCTGATCCACCTTTCACAACATTTTAGAGTCCACCAGCTGCAGACTGAGGTCAGTGTTACCTGAACGGATCCAGGTGTGTCAGAGCTCCTCCCTGCCGCAGGTAGGCTGACACACCTGCACGCTCAGGTGATCACAGCCGCACAGTTTGCAGCGTTCAGGTGCACGAGGAGCCCGTCTCCAGCCACACACACCTGTGGGAACGTCACTGCGGCTGCGCAGAGCACCTCAACGCGACTCTACCTTCCAGAAAAACCCCAGCGGCTCACCTGCAGCGGCTCGGTCCGGTCCGGTCCAGTTCGGCTCGGTCCGGTCACCTGCGGTGGCTCCACATTGGCCGGCTCGTGGCTGCGTCCTGCCCGCGCGCTCCTCTCCTGTGCGCAGCTCTGTCTCGTGCTTCATGAGCCACGCAACGTTCACGTGAACAGCAGCCGGCAGCCAATCAGAGGCCGCGCTGAGGGCGTGCAGGAGGGGGCGGGGCTCCGCAGCTGATCAATGGATCAGCCTATTGACCCTCAGCCAGAATCAGGCCAATGAGTAGGTCCGATCAATGAGGGTCCCAGAGGCTGGACCTTTTCAGAACCGGACCCCACAAACAGCTGCTCTGATGTGTGTGTGGGCTCCTGGGTTTGGGTCACATTGTGTTCATTGTGTGTGTCTGTGTGTTCTTCATCACTTTGTGTAACAGCAGGTGTGTGTGTGACCGGCTGGGTCTCCGCTGAGCTGTGTGTGTTTGTTGTGTGTAGTGTTGTGTTGTTTGTTGTGTGTAGTGTTGTGTTGTTTGTTGTGTGCAGTATTGTGTGTGTTTGTGTTGTGTTGTGCGTCCTACTACTGCACACCTGGATCAGCATCACCTGTCTGTGCTGGAGACGGCTGCCGTGGTAACCAGGTAACCCTGGGGGGATGTTTTCAGGTCACGTCTCCACATGTGGACAAAGTCCTGCTGACCTCCATCGCTCTGCAAATATTGACCCGATGAGCTGCCAGAACAGCAGCGTGTTCTGGTGCTGCTCAGGCTGCTGCAGACGTGCTGCACAGACCAGCAGCTCCAGGGCTCCAGGTCACTCTGCAGTAAACTGCTCTTGATGCCGACATCGTCTGGTGAGCTTCGCCTCTGAGCGGGTCCGGCTGAACGTCGTGCAGCTTCAGGGTTAATGTGTTCAGGCTGAGTTGAAGACAGAACATCTGCAGGTTTCAGCTTAAATCCAACAGACTGTGTAGAAACAGTTCTGATTGGTCACATGCACAGGTAGCACAGGACCAATCAGCAGCAGCATCAAGCAACAAAGACACACAAAACCACCACAAAGACACAAAACCACCGCCAAAGCTGATGGGTNGGCTTACATCCAGTCACTTTACGTATGTGATCTTTAGTTACCTAAGCTCTAAGTTAATTCCCTTAACTTTATAAAACACTCTTGACTGATCACCAGGAGTAAATAATTTATTAAAATTATTATGCTGACTCTGAGATTATACCGCTGGACGAATAATTCAAAGGTTGGTTTTAATAAGTTTAATTAATGCAATCACTTGCTTTGGTGTGGAAATAAGTACATCTTATTTTCCACCCTACAGTGTTGAGTGTCTATGCCAGACGTTCATTCTGCAAAACTTGCAGTCAGCAGACTTTGCTGAACATCAGGACAGTGAACAGCGCTGGAATTGCAGCGTTTGGTTGTGACCATGGTGACCCAACATTCCAGCATCAGTTACCATGGCAACCTAGCAGTGCAGCATCAGTTACCATGGCGACCTAGCAGCGCGGCATCAGTTACTGTGGTGGTCTACCAGTGCAGCATCAGTTAAAAAGTCTGAAACTCTGACTTCAGGCTCATCATATCAGCTGACTCATTGATCTCTTTAGTATTCTGGTTTGCTAATGTCCCCCCCGAGACTGAAGTAGCTTATAATTTATTACCAGTGGAAGTTGGATTTTAGAGAATTTAGTTGTTTCATATAATAAGATTAGAATTGTAAACATTTTTAGGTTAGTCAGTAGCAGTAGGGATGGACTGCCAGTATTTGTTTGAACTCGTTTTCGTCTTACTCAAGGGAGGGAGGTTAGCAAATGTATTTTGGTTTATTTCTTCCAGGGTTTAGCTCAGTTGTGGGATTAATAGATAGTTTGTGTTGTTTGTTGTTTTGGCCTTTGGCCACCCTGAAGCCAGGCTTCTATTGTTCTTGTTTTTTTTCTATTTTGTAAATTCTTTTTTTTTTGTTTAAAACTGTAAAATATACATTTTTGTGGCAATAAATTGCCTACTTTTACACCTTTTCTCCTCCACGTGTCCTTTTATGTTGTGTCTCTGCACCCCTACACCAGGGACATAACACTCGTTTTAAAAGTTCAGTCTTCCAGCAGAGCAGCTGAAGGACCAGAAGTTCATCCACAAAGTCTCAGAAGTAAACAAACCAAATCACTG